TACCTCATCAGTGCGAGGCGAGCCTGGCCTGACCCTCCTCCTCTGGGACCTACGGGCCCGGGCCTCTGGCTACTCTACCTCACAAAGTTCACGCTGAACTTTCAACTAAAATGAAAAAGGCTGCTCTGTTGTGAATGTTTTGAGAGCATTGTCAATCTTTAAGAGGAGGAAAAGCTGGTTGTTCTCGGGAACGAGCTTCACGCTGTGTGATATGATCATGCAGCTTATTGGACAAAATTGTTCAGCCAATAAACGGAACTATATTTGAAGCAACGTAGGAACGTGATGACGCTCAGGGGGTTATATTTTCTTAAAACATTAGAACGCAACATTTAGGCATTAGCAATAATTTGTGTTTAAAAATAACAATATTTAAATTATGACTTTTAATAAAAAAGGTTAATGACTTGAGAGGCGAAGAACAAATTTGAGTAGGCCAAGAAAAAAACTGGTAGGCACCGGCCTACCCAGGCCTACCCCTGGCGCCGCGGCTGGTTCCAACCTCTCCCCTCTCACCTGCACATGGACTGTTCCAACCTCCCCCCTCTCACCTGCACATGGACTGTTCCAACCTCCCCCCTCTCACCTGCACATGGACTGTTCCAACCTCCCCCCTCTCACCTGCACATGGACTGTTCCAACCTCTCCCCCCGGGCTGGAGACTACAGCTCATTTGGATCAGAACCTGCTGCTATAAGAACAGTTTCTTCCCTTCTGCTGTTGGACTCTTGAACTCATCACTGACCTCTGACCTCTGTGACCGTCACTTTATGCTACGTTGACTTTGCTGGACTCTTCTGCACTGACTGCACTTGTATGCAGTAGTCATTTAAAGAAATATGACCTGTTACTTACAACGGCAACAGAAACAATCTCATTCTAAAGGTAATAACTTCAACAGAACCCAATAACTACACACACACACACACACACACACCCAGACACACACACACACCCAGACACACACACACACCCAGACACACATGCACACCCAGACACACATGCACACACACACACACACACACACCCACACACACACACACACACACACAGACACACACAGACACCCACACACACACACACCCACAGACACACAGACACACACACACACATGAACACACACACACACACAGACACACACACACACACACACCCACACACAGACACACACACACACACACACCCACACACACACACACACACAGACACACAGACACACACACACACATGAACACACACACACACACAGACACACACACAGAGACACACACACACCCACACACACATACACGTTTTTGTTACCTGGTGGGTCCCTTTGACAGGGCCGTTCAGAATGGGACCCATAGACATAATCTTTTTTTACTGGGACTACTTTAAGTAATACAAAACAGTCAATAGAAACCAAACAACTATTTTAAAGGAATTTTATTTTAGATTTTGTTTTCGAATTGCAGTGATTCTATTTTTGACATAGAATTTAATGCCACTCCATGTCCGATGTCTAAGGTCATCTGGTGAGGCATTAATGCAGGCCAGGCAGTGAGACTTCCCAGGGACCTTTCCAGTCTGTATGAAAGGTGTCATGGTCTTCTCCACAGCCTTCACCTCAGATGCAGACCATGGCTTTCTTACACGTTCTAGGGAGAGAAATAAAAATATATTAGCAATATACACTCCCAGGGTTAGGACCAAGCAGCCTGGCTGTAATCCCCCACCTGGTACACTTACCAGAAGGGGCACTGCCACTACCATGGGGTGCATCTGGATGAATGGTTGAAGGTTCTCCGCTTGAAGTTTCTTTTAGCCCGTCCGTTTGTGAGAGGATCTCTACTGCTCTCCCTGTCGCACAGAAAATAAAAATACAAGTGGCCTTTAGGGGAAAAAAATCATACATATTTTAATAATATCAAGAATTACCTTCAGGCTCAATTTGTATCTGGTCGAGGCTCTTTCCTTCGAATTCCGTCACTCTTCCCTGCTCCATGGCCATCAACACTTTGCTGATTTTGGCCAGCTCCAGTGTCCCCTCTGGTAGTCTGTAATATTGCCTGTGGATGCGAATGTCATGGCCGAGGAAGTTGGCAAGTATGTCCATCTCATTCTCTTTCATATTGAGAACTGTAGACATAGTAGCTATGTGCTTTCTAAGTTTGGTTGGTTGAGAGGATAGCATCTCTGGATGCACCGCACCACATTCTTTGGCTACCTGGCGTAGGGAGTCTGATCCCCTGATGTGGGTGTCTGCGCCCGGGCGGGAAAAGAAGTATGGGTTATGGTCAGAGATGGAACAGGCCCTTCTGTTCTCCACCAGCACCTCCATCGAAGCAATCATTTCAGGAGTCAAAAGAACCGGCACTTTCCGACTTCTTTTCCCTTTAATTTCAATGCGTTGAAAATGCTGACACAGCTTTTTCTCAAGTTGGGACAGTCCCAGAGCAATGTCAGAATGGATCCCAGTCTTACTTCTTAAGGTAAAGGCTGTCAGTGGCATCTTTGAAACCTCACCTTCCCTTCTTCGATTGAAAATGATGACCTCACAAAGAGTCAAAACTGCCAGTTTAGACCAATGCTTAGACGTTGGCTCACTTATTAGGGTTTGCACATATTCAGGTCGACATACCTCAATATGTGCATGCATGGCTCTAACGTCCTCAGTCAGAGGGAGCAGGTCCGGAGTGTTCCACTTGGCTTGCCGGAGGGTCTGTAGGGCAGCAGAAGAAACACAGACGTCCCACCTCTTCTCAAAAAGCAGCCGGCTTCGTTGGAGGTTTTTAATAAATAGTTCATCAACACAATGCTCCATTTTTGAGTCACATTCAAGAATATCTGCTAGCTTTCTGAGGCTATGGCCGAGTTTGAGGGCCAAGGATGGAGTCTTGTATTGATTTGTTTCCTCATCATATCCAGCCACAGACCTGACTGCATCAATCACATGGTTAAAGTTGGAAGGAATAAAGAAATCCTTAATTGTTTTCAGTTTCCCTGCGGTTTTTGCTTCGTTAATTAACCTACCGACTTCTCTCATTTTCTGCCTAATGTAATCATGCTTTGTCTTATCATGCCCGTGTTTTAAGTACAGGTGCTCTCCGAGTCTCAGAATCCCCTTTTCTGCTTTGACAACACCCGTGACCTCATCCTGATGCATTGCCGAAATTAAAGACCACAGCTTTTTGCTGATGCCCTCCGGTACAGGCTGGGCTAGGGAGCAGAGGGACTGGACCCTACTTCTACCTGGTTTAGCCTGGGCATCTTTCTGTGAAAGCCGGCACCTGGCCACATGCCTCCACAGCGACTTTCGCTTAAGCAATGCCCCACAGTCTATACAGTGCAAAAACTCACTGGATTTAACTGGGGAATTTGGCTGTTTAGCTGGGACTAAAGTTCCAATGCCGGCCTTTAAAACCTCAAAATTGTGCTCACGGTTTCCACTATTCCTGATCAAATCAAACTGAAGTTTACGTGCTTTAGATTTCACAGGTAGAGCCAATGCTCTGGCTACGTCACTTTCATTTCCATGTTTTCTAGTCAAATGACGGGACATTTTGTGGCAGGACATTGAACAGTAGAGGCAGAAGTGTCTCTTGCTATAAACTCGCCCCCCATTTTTCTTCTTTTGCAGCTGCATGATAACAATCTTATTTGCCTTTGGTTCGTCACTTTCCGAGTCTTGAAGAAAAGTGTTTTTGATTTTTCTTTTTCCATACTTTTTTACAGGTTTCTTCTTGACAGTTAAATCGTCAGAATCTGAGTCGACTTCATCAATTAGGGACTCTTGACTAAGCTGCACAAACAACAAATAATTTGTAATCATTCTATATAACAATTTGAAGTCATGACTTGTAGTCAGCACTTACCAGTGGTTTGTAAGCGTGCGCTTCAGTGTGCTCCTCCATGATTTCTTGCAGCCTAATGAACCACACACTTGCACCTTTTCTAGCCTGACACCTGATTTCCTCTGTTGTGCTGCTCCATGATTGGCTCCAGCCTGCTGGACTGAAATTGCCCCAGTGTGCCCCTCCTTGATATCCCGCAACCCACCACCAGGGTTCCGACACATAACACACTTTTTTCAGGAAAGTAAACCTCCAGGGGTCCTTTCCATATTTTTACAGAGACTGCATAAGGACCGTTAGAAAAGCATTACCCATTGATTATTAAGCTTGGACCAGTGGGGTCCGGTGTTCGGGCCCCACCACGTAAAACCAGTCCCCATGACGTGAGTGGAATCTCAGGTTATGGAACCCACCAGGAGTTGAAAACAAGTGCACACACACACCCACAGACACACAGACACCCACACACACATGAACACACACACACACACACACAGACACACACACAGAGACACACACACACACACACACCCACACACACACACACACACACACACACACACACACACACACAGAGGCTTCCCAGTTTCACACTCTTCACATTGTTATTCTATAAGTCTTTTCTCAGTGTCTCGTTGATGCGTTTAAGACACAAATGACTCAACTTCATGCAGTTTTTTTCTCCCACAAAACTCAAACATCCTTAAACCGCCGCCTGCGAGTCTCCGGGACACTCCATTCCTGCATGTATTAGCCTTAAGTACAACCAGAATCTGTCCTCCGCTGAAATATTTAACCTGAAAAGACGACATTGACTCATCTCCTCCTCCTGCCGCTGTCACCTTGTCCGCGAGCCTGAGCCGCTGCCATCTAAATAATGGAGGCTGTGATGTCGCACGCACCCACCAGCCTCCCGCTCCATTAAAGAATGAAAAGACTGGCTCCTTTTGTGGCCCCCTAGATCTGCCCCCACTGCATTAGCGGATCCCATTATTCCACAGACGAAGGTGACTTTCTCTTTCAGCACAGATGACACATGAAGAGTGGGCTCTGTCAGGTTCGGGAGATGGTCTTGGCCCGATAAGGCCTTTTTCGGCGAAGTCCTCAAGGAAAAACCGGGACGTATTGATTGACTGAGACAGAAGGGTGTTTCGTGTAAGCTGCCAATCACCGGCTGGACCTGGTTATTGTGGGTCTTCTGTGTTTCCAGGGACCACCGGTGATCACCCATTTCCAGGAGCAGGGGTGCAGAGCTCTCCAAGCCTCATTTAGCTTCATTACAGGCGGGTTGACAGGCGGCGAGCGACGAGGGACACGCCACGGAGCTGACCTTGTGCTGGTTACTGTCGCCTTTCGATAGACGCGCTCTCTCCACGGCGATCCATCCTCAGCCTTCAGCCTCCGCCGCCTTCCCTTCGTGGAGCTGGATCGTGGCTGTCGGCTCCGGATGACCTTCCGGGACGTGATGACTGTTCGATCGTCGTTCATCCGTCTCCGTGTCGTCGGAGGCGTTGGAGACGGTGGTTTTATTGGGTTTAAATTGTAATATGTTCCAGTGGAGAGAATTGATTGTGATGATGAGAAATTGTGGCGTCTGAGATGACAGTTTGATTCTGACAGAGGGAAGAAAACCTGGAATACAGTGGTCCCCAACCCCTGGTACCATGGGAGATTAGAACCAGGTCGCCAGGGAAAGAATACATAATATCTGTGGTTTAAAGCAGGGACGGTGAGAGCTGCAGAGGGTACGAGTGGCAGAAGGCTTTACAAACAGGTGCTCTTCAAAGACAGGGCGATCGAAGCAGATGAAAACTGTAAAAGTCCTTTATCAAAATGGTCTGTCTACGCATTTCGACCAAAGGGTCTTCATCAGGGCATCTGTATGTATGTATCTGAGTCTAAACGTCTCTGGAACAGTCTGAGGAGGAGCTCAGAGCCGCAGAGCTTTAGATTAGCTTTTGACTAGTATTTATTTTTCCATTTTATATATTCTATTTATCTTTTAGACACATTTTATTTTATCTGTATTATTTATTTTTGTTGTAGCTATTACTAATGTAGTTCCTTTTAGTCTCACATTTTAGTCTTTTACTTTTTCATTGTGTTGTTTTTAGTGTCCCCAGTGTTTCCTCTGGAGGAGCCCTCTGCACTGGGAGCCGGGGTCTGCTGTGTCTGCGGGGGTCAGACTCTTGGACCTGGTGGGGCCCGGAGCCTCAGCTTCATGTCTCCTCTGAATCAGGTCCTCAAAAACAGACAAAAACGTGTGGAGGCGTCTGCGGGAGCTTTAACAAGAGACAAGATCGAGAATGGATTTAAGATAAGACCAGGATGAGACCAGAGGAGCCGGGACCAGGACATGAGCATTTACAGCCACAGCAGAACTGAGGCTAAAAACTGATGATAATAACAGTTTATCAATGAGCTAACCTGCGGAGCTACAGGCTAATGCTAACCTGCGGAGCTACAGGCTAATGCTAACCTGCGGAGCTACAGGCTAATACTAACCTGCAGAGCTACAGGCTAATGCTAACCTGAGGAGCTACAGGCTAATGCTAACCTGCGGAGCTACAGGCTAATGCTAACCTGAGGAGCTACAGGCTAATGCTAACCTGAGGAGCTACAGGCTAATGCTAACCTGCGGAGCTACAGGCTAATGCTAACCTGAGGAGCTACAGGCTAATGCTAACCTGAGGAGCTACAGGCTAATGCTAACCTGAGAAGCTACAGGCTAATGCTAACCTGAGGAGCTACAGGCTAATGCTAACCTGAGGAGCTACAGGCTAATGCTAACCTGCGGAGCTACAGGCTAATGCTAACCTGAGGAGCTACAGGCTAATACTAACCTGAGGAGCTACAGGCTAATGCTAACCTGAGGAGCTACAGGCTAATGCTAACCTGAGGAGCTACAGGCTAATGCTAACCTGCGGAGCTACAGGCTAATGCTAACCTGAGGAGCTACAGGCTAATACTAACCTGAGGAGCTACAGGCTAATGCTAACCTGAGGAGCTACAGGCTAATGCTAACCTGCGGAGCTACAGGCTAATACTAACCTGAGGAGCTACAGGCTAATACTAACCTGAGGAGCTACAGGCTAATGCTAACCTGAGGAGCTACAGGCTAATGCTAACCTGCAGAGCTACAGGCTAATACTAACCTGAGGAGCTACAGGCTAATGCTAACCTGAGGAGCTACAGGCTAATACTAACCTGAGGAGCTACAGGCTAATACTAACCTGAGGAGCTACAGGCTAATACTAACCTGAGGAGCTACAGGCTAATGCTAACCTGCGGAGCTACAGGCTAATGCTAACCTGAGGAGCTACAGGCTAATGCTAACCTGCGGAGCTACAGGCTAATGCTAACCTGCAGAGCTACAGGCTAATACTAACCTGAGGAGCTACAGGCTAATGCTGACCTGAGGAGCTACAGGCTAATGCTAACCTGCGGAGCTACAGGCTAATACTAACCTGCGGAGCTACAGGCTAATGCTAACCTGAGGAGCTACAGGCTAATGCTAACCTGAGGAGCTACAGGCTAATGCTAACCTGCGGAGCTACAGGCTAATGCTAACCTGAGGAGCTACAGGCTAATACTAACCTGCGGAGCTACAGGCTAATTCTAACCTGAGGAGCTACAGGCTAATTCTAACCTGAGGAGCTACAGGCTAATGCTAACCTGCGGAGCTACAGGCTAATGCTAACCTGAGGAGCTACAGGCTAATACTAACCTGCGGAGCTACAGGCTAATGCTAACCTGAGGAGCTACAGGCTAATGCTAACCTGCGGAGCTACAGGCTAATGCTAACCTGCGGAGCTACAGGCTAATGCTAACCTGAGGAGCTACAGGCTAATGCTAACCTGCGGAGCTACAGGCTAATGCTAACCTGAGGAGCTACAGGCTAATACTAACCTGCAGAGCTACAGGCTAATGCTAACCTGAGGAGCTACAGGCTAATGCTAACCTGAGGAGCTACAGGCTAATGCTAACCTGCGGAGCTACAGGCTAATGCTAACCTGAGGAGCTACAGGCTAATGCTAACCTGCGGAGCTACAGGCTAATGCTAACCTGCAGAGCTACAGGCTAATGCTAACCTGAGGAGCTACAGGCTAATGCTAACCTGCGGAGCTACAGGCTAATGCTAACCTGCAGAGCTACAGGCTAATACTAACCTGAGGAGCTACAGGCTAATACTAACCTGCGGAGCTACAGGCTAATGCTAACCTGCGGAGCTACAGGCTAATGCTAACCTGAGGAGCTACAGGCTAATGCTAACCTGCGGAGCTACAGGCTAATGCTAACCTGCGGAGCTACAGGCTAATACTAACCTGAAGAGCTACAGGCTAATGCTAACCTGAGGAGCTACAGGCTAATGCTAACCTGCGGAGCTACAGGCTAATACTAACCTGCAGAGCTACAGGCTAATGCTAACCTGAGGAGCTACAGGCTAATACTAACCTGCGGAGCTACAGGCTAATGCTAACCTGAGGAGCTACAGGCTAATTCTAACCTGAGGAGCTACAGGCTAATGCTAACCTGAGGAGCTACAGGCTAATGCTAACCTGCGGAGCTACAGGCTAATGCTAACCTGAGGAGCTACAGGCTAATACTAACCTGCGGAGCTACAGGCTAATGCTAACCTGAGGAGCTACAGGCTAATGCTAACCTGCGGAGCTACAGGCTAATGCTAACCTGCGGAGCTACAGGCTAATGCTAACCTGAGGAGCTACAGGCTAATGCTAACCTGCGGAGCTACAGGCTAATGCTAACCTGAGGAGCTACAGGCTAATACTAACCTGCAGAGCTACAGGCTAATGCTAACCTGAGGAGCTACAGGCTAATGCTAACCTGAGGAGCTACAGGCTAATGCTAACCTGCGGAGCTACAGGCTAATGCTAACCTGAGGAGCTACAGGCTAATGCTAACCTGCGGAGCTACAGGCTAATGCTAACCTGCAGAGCTACAGGCTAATACTAACCTGAGGAGCTACAGGCTAATACTAACCTGCGGAGCTACAGGCTAATGCTAACCTGAAGAGCTACAGGCTAATGCTAACCTGAGGAGCTACAGGCTAATGCTAACCTGCGGAGCTACAGGCTAATGCTAACCTGCAGAGCTACAGGCTAATGCTAACCTGAGGAGCTACAGGCTAATACTAACCTGCAGAGCTACAGGCTAATGCTAACCTGCGGAGCTACAGGCTAATGCTAACCTGAGGAGCTACAGGCTAATTCTAACCTGAGGAGCTACAGGCTAATGCTAACCTGCGGAGCTACAGGCTAATGCTAACCTGAGGAGCTACAGGCTAATACTAACCTGCGGAGCTACAGGCTAATGCTAACCTGAGGAGCTACAGGCTAATGCTAACCTGCGGAGCTACAGGCTAATGCTAACCTGCGGAGCTACAGGCTAATGCTAACCTGAGGAGCTACAGGCTAATGCTAACCTGCGGAGCTACAGGCTAATGCTAACCTGAGGAGCTACAGGCTAATGCTAACCTGCGGAGCTACAGGCTAATGCTAACCTGCAGAGCTACAGGCTAATACTAACCTGAGGAGCTACAGGCTAATACTAACCTGCGGAGCTACAGGCTAATGCTAACCTGAGGAGCTACAGGCTAATGCTAACCTGAGGAGCTACAGGCTAATACTAACCTGCGGAGCTACAGGCTAATACTAACCTGCAGAGCTACAGGCTAATTCTAACCTGAGGAGCTACAGGCTAATGCTAACCTGAGGAGCTACAGGCTAATGCTAACCTGCGGAGCTACAGGCTAATGCTAACCTGAGGAGCTACAGGCTAATGCTAACCTGCGGAGCTACAGGCTAATGCTAACCTGCAGAGCTACAGGCTAATACTAACCTGAGGAGCTACAGGCTAATACTAACCTGCAGAGCTACAGGCTAATGCTAACCTGCGGAGCTACAGGCTAATGCTAACCTGAGGAGCTACAGGCTAATGCTAACCTGCGGAGCTACAGGCTAATGCTAACCTGAGGAGCTACAGGCTAATGCTAACCTGCGGAGCTACAGGCTAATGCTAACCTGCAGAGCTACAGGCTAATACTAACCTGAGGAGCTACAGGCTAATACTAACCTGAGGAGCTACAGGCTAATGCTAACCTGCGGAGCTACAGGCTAATGCTAACCTGCGGAGCTACAGGCTAATACTAACCTGCGGAGCTACAGGCTAATGCTAACCTGCGGAGCTACAGGCTAATACTAACCTGAGGAGCTACAGGCTAATGCTAACCTGCAGAGCTACAGGCTAATGCTAACCTGAGGAGCTACAGGCTAATGCTAACCTGCGGAGCTACAGGCTAATGCTAACCTGAGGAGCTACAGGCTAATACTAACCTGCAGAGCTACAGGCTAATGCTAACCTGAGGAGCTACAGGCTAATGCTAACCTGCGGAGCTACAGGCTAATGCTAACCTGCGGAGCTACAGGCTAATGCTAACCTGAGGAGCTACAGGCTAATGCTAACCTGCGGAGCTACAGGCTAATGCTAACCTGAGGAGCTACAGGCTAATGCTAACCTGCAGAGCTACAGGCTAATGCTAACCTGAGGAGCTACAGGCTAATGCTAACCTGCGGAGCTACAGGCTAATGCTAACCTGAGGAGCTACAGGCTAATGCTAACCTGCGGAGCTACAGGCTAATACTAACCTGCGGAGCTACAGGCTAATGCTAACCTGAGGAGCTACAGGCTAATGCTAACCTGAGGAGCTACAGGCTAATGCTAACCTGAGGAGCTACAGGCTAATGCTAACCTGCGGAGCTACAGGCTAATGCTAACCTGCGGAGCTACAGGCTAATGCTAACCTGAGGAGCTACAGGCTAATGCTAACCTGAGGAGCTACAGGCTAATGCTAACCTGCGGAGCTACAGGCTAATACTAACCTGAGGAGCTACAGGCTAATGCTAACCTGCAGAGCTACAGGCTAATGCTAACCTGAGGAGCTACAGGCTAATACTAACCTGCAGAGCTACAGGCTAATGCTAACCTGAGGAGCTACAGGCTAATACTAACCTGCGGAGCTACAGGCTAATGCTAACCTGAGGAGCTACAGGCTAATGCTAACCTGCGGAGCTACAGGCTAATACTAACCTGAGGAGCTACAGGCTAATGCTAACCTGAGGAGCTACAGGCTAATGCTAACCTGCAGAGCTACAGGCTAATGCTAACCTGAGGAGCTACAGGCTAATACTAACCTGCAGAGCTACAGGCTAATGCTAACCTGAGGAGCTACAGGCTAATACTAACCTGCGGAGCTACAGGCTAATGCTAACCTGAGGAGCTACAGGCTAATACTAACCTGCGGAGCTACAGGCTAATGCTAACCTGCGGAGCTACAGGCTAATGCTAACCTGAGGAGCTACAGGCTAATACTAACCTGCGGAGCTACAGGCTAATGCTAACCTGCGGAGCTACAGGCTAATGCTAACCTGAGGAGCTACAGGCTAATACTAACCTGCGGAGCTACAGGCTAATGCTAACCTGCGGAGCTACAGGCTAATACTAACCTGAGGAGCTACAGGCTAATGCTAACCTGAGGAGCTACAGGCTAATGCTAACCTGCGGAGCTACAGGCTAATGCTAACCTGAGGAGCTACAGGCTAATGCTAACCTGAGGAGCTACAGGCTAATACTAACCTGAGGAGCTACAGGCTAATGCTAACCTGCGGAGCTACAGGCTGATGCTAACCTGAGGAGCTACAGGCTAATGCTAGGCCTCACCACGACGCCATAGTCCTGACATAGTCCTGCTTCAGGAGGCCAGTCCCTGTGCTCCTCAGAGTCCCAGCAGGAGGCCGGTCCCTGTGCTCCTCAGAGTCCCAGCAGGAGGCCAGTCCCTGTGCTCCTCAGAGTCCCAGCAGGAGGCCAGTCCCTGTGCTCCTCAGAGTCCCAGCAGGAGGCCAGTCCCTGTGCTCCTCAGAGTCCCAGCAGGAGGCCGGTCCCTGTGCTCCTCAGAGTCCCAGCAGGAGGACAGTCCCTGTGCTCCTCAGAGTCCCAGCAGGAGGCCGGTCCCTGTGCTCCTCAGAGTCCCAGCAGGAGGCCAGTCCCTGTGCTCCTCAGAGTCCCAGCAGGAGGCCAGTCCCTGTGCTCCTCAGAGTCCCAGCAGGAGGCCAGTCCCTGTGCTCCTCAGAGTCCCAGCAGGAGGCCGGTCCCTGTGCTCCTCAGAGTCCCAGCAGGAGGCCAGTCCCTGTGCTCCTCTGAGTCCCAGCAGGAGGCCGGTCCCTGTGCTCCTCAGAGTCCCAGCAGGAGGCCGGTCCCTGTGCTCCTCAGAGTCCCAGCAGGAGGCCGGTCCCTGTGCTCCTCAGAGTCCCAGCAGGAGGACAGTCCCTGTGCTCCTCAGAGTCCCAGCAGGAGGCCGGTCCCTGTGCTCCTCAGAGTCCCAGCAGGAGGCCAGTCCCTGTGCTCCTCAGAGTCCCAGCAGGAGGCCAGTCCCTGTGCTCCTCAGAGTCCCAGCAGGAGGCCAGTCCCTGTGCTCCTCAGAGTCCCAGCAGGAGGCCGGTCCCTGTGCTCCTCAGAGTCCCAGCAGGAGGCCCCTCCCTGTGTACTTTGAGTCCATTGTCCCTTACAGTGTGACATCACTACGAGCCTTTGATCCAAAACACTGCTGTTCCATTAGACAAACTCAGACTCTGCTCTTTCATGGTCAGTGGGTTTTATCTCATCTTCTCTGAAAAACACTGATTCGTGGCCAGAGGCTCGAGCAGCAGCGAGTCTGAGCCGATAACATCTTCACATCAAACGCCCGCAGTCCGCAGAGGTCAGAATATCCACTTCTCTCCGACCGTTATTCCTGTCCAATTAGTCTGCGGCGCTCTGAACTTTTCTGTTTGAAGCCCTCGCTCTCTGTCGCAGGGATCAAGAGATGTTGTTGGTTCAAGGAAGACATTGTTGAGAATCCGGGCGTTTGGACCACTGCTCAGACTGTGGTCATGTGACGGCCGCCAGAGCCCGGAGAGAATAAACAAAATCCTCCCCAGAGAGATATTTGTCTTGGACTCACTGACACAGTTAGTCTGTTCTGGAGCACCAATTATGGGTTTGTGGCGAGTGTTTTGGTATAGCACAGTTTATGGTCAAAGGGATGAGCAAGACCAGAGAGAAACGAGACACATGGTATGAAATCATGAAATCATGAATAAGAGGAAAGATGCAATCCTTCAGTTGTTGCAGCGAAACCGTTTTTGACCTGGATTTGAACATTATCAGAGAAGAAGCCTGTCTCACATTTTCAGGAAGACTGTTCCAGATGTTAGATGCATAAGAAACTAATCTTTGTTTTCATAGCGCCTTCACAGACCAGAGTGACAAAGCGCTTTACAATTGTGGGCATTTGTCTCTCAGTCCACACAGAGATGGAGCAGGGCCAGTACAGGAGGCACATGTCAGAACAACTGTACATGTTTTAGTGGTAGGGGAAACCCTCTGCAGGTGGGTGGAGCAGACCTTCCTCAAGTGGAGGAGTTCAAGTATCTCGGGGTCTTGTTCACGAGTGAGGGAAGGATGGAGCGTGAGATTGACAGGCGGATCGGTGCAGCGTGCGCAGTGATGCGGTCGCTGTATCGGACCGTTGTGGTAAAGAGGGAGCTGAGCCGAAAGGCAAAGCTCTCAATTTACCGGTCAATCTTCGTTCCCTCCCTCACCTATGGTCATGAGCTTTGGGTAATGACCGAAAGAACAAAATCGCGGATACAAGCGGTCGAAATGAGCTTCCTCCGCAGAGTGGCTGGGCGCTCCCTTAGAGATAGGGTGAGGAGCTCAGTCACACGGGAGGAGCTTGGAGTAGAGCCGCTGCTTCTTCACGTCGAGAGGAACCAGTTGAGGTGGCTCGGGCATCTGTTCCGGATGCCTCCTGGACGCCTTCCTGGGGAGGTGTTCCGGGCACGTCCCACCGGGAGGAGGCCCCGGGGAAGACCCAGGACACGCTCAACATCTCTGCTTAGATTGCTGCCGCCGCGACCCGGCAAGGGATGAAGCGGAAGAAGATGGATGGATGGGAAATCGGAGCACCTGGAGGAAAGAGGAGCACAGGGAGAGTCCCTGCAGGAGACCAGTCCCTGTGCTCCTCAGAGTCTACGCTGGTTCATAATACAGCCAAAATATAACGTAGAATACATTCAAAAGAAAATATTGGCACTTTGAGATTTCACCAGGTTTCATTCATGTGACATCACAACATGTTAAAGAGCCTGCAGTTTAAAGGGGGAGGCAGCGTTTCAACTATTCTTCTTGAAAACGTGAGACAGGCTTCATCTCTGACAAAGTCAAAATCCAGGTTAAAAACAGTTTTATTTTGCTGTGAACTCAAAGCAGAGACTGTGACTTTACTCTTTTTAATGTATTTATCATTTTTTGTTTGTTGAAAACATTATTTATCAGTTTCATAGTAAATATAAACAGTACAGTCATGTATTCTAACATAGTTAAAACCATTTCCCTCCTCCCATTATTTTTGATTTTAGTTACACCAATAAACGACTGACTCCATTCCCACAGAACGTCTCCGTCTCTCTCTCTTTCCGCTCGACAAAAACCATAACTTTTCAGGTGTAAACATTGAAAGTATGAGCAGAGAAAACACCGGTGAATGAAACGTCCCGGTGAGTGACGCGGCGTCTCGTAATCACCATTTACCGCGGCGGGTCTGGAGTTCGGCGTCTGTCGCGCTGCCAGCTCGCCCCTTTTAGTGCCGCAATTACGTTTCAATCAGGAACGAGGCCTTATTTGCAGTAAAGAGCCGCTTTACCGTTGGCTAGCAGCAGGAGAACCCGGCGTCAAACTCATTCAAAAGCAGCAGTTAGCAAAGAATCGTTAAAAAAGGACCTTTAATTGCATTTTCCATTTGCCGTTTTTTCTCTTGTTTGTTCCTGTTTTTATTGTCTCTTGAATCGGCAATCCATCCCGCGGTGATGAGCCGTCTCACTTCGCTGGCTCCATTAACTTTATTGCTAATAATATATTCTATTACGGAGCGTTATTGGAAAGTGAGCGGCAATCTGCTCATCGCCGAAGACCCGCGTCCAAAACGGTTAATTAGGCAAAAGAACGGTGACGCCGACGTAAATAAATAAATGTGCCGCTGACATTAGCATGAAGTAATTGAATGTCAGTCTTGGTTATTCAGCGGTCGCTATTGATGGATGTGGAGGGGGGTGGGGGGGGGGGAGGAGGGGGGGGGGAGAGGGAGGTGTGAGGGGAGAGGGAGGTGTGAGGGGAGAGGGAGGTGTGAGAGGAGAGGGAGGAGAGAGGAGGAGAGAAAGGAGAGGGAGGAGAGGGGGAAGGGGGAGGGAAGAGGTAGGAGAGAGAGGAGAGGGAGGATAGAGGAGGAAGGGGAGGAGAGAGGAGGAGAGAGGAGGAGAGGGGGAAGGGGGAGAAGAGAGAGGAGAGGGAGGCAAGAGAGGAGAGGGAGGCGAGAGAGGAGAGGGAGGAGAGGGGGAAGGGGGAGGAGAGAGAGGAGAGGGAGGAGAGAGGAGGAAGGGGAGGAGAGAGGAGGAAGGGGAGGAGAGAGGAGGAAGGGGAGGAGAGAGGAGGAGAGGTAGGAGGGGGAGGAGAGAGAAGAAAGGGGGAGAAGAGGGAGGGGAGAGAGCAGGGTGAGGAGAGGGAGGCGAGTAGAGGGAGGAAGTGGAGGAGAGGGCGGCGAGAGAGGAGAGGGTGGAGAGGGAGGTGGGATGAGGAAGGGGAGGAGGGGTAAAAGAGGGAGGCAAGAGAGGAGAGGGAATAGAGAGGAGAAAGGGGAGGAGAGGGAGGAGGGGAGGAGAGGGAGGGGAGAGATGAGGAAGAGGAAGAGGAGGAGAGGGAGGAGAGAGAGTACATCACTATGTTGTCAATTGTCCAGAGACCAGGACTGACACCAGGGACCAAAGAGAGACCAGGACTGACACCAGGGACCAAAGAGAGACCAGGACTGACACCAGGGACCAAAGAGAGACCAGGACTGACACCAGGGACCAAAGAGAGACCAGGACTGACACCAGGGACCAAAGAGAGACCAGGACTGACACCAGGGACCAAAGAGAGACCAGGACTGACACCAGAGGGACCAGAAAGACCAGGACTGAGGCCCGGAGAAGAGAGAGAGACCAGGATTGATGTCAGAGACCAGAGACTCAGACAGACACCAGAGAGCAAGGTCCTGGGTTCATTTCCAGGTCCAAGAAACACATTTTCCTCTTCACAATCCCATATATGTTCTTACTTCCGCAACAAAACTGCCCCAAAACATCAGACTACCACCCCCATGCTTCAGCCTCTCTGTCTTACAAGCTTCTCCATGTTCCCAGAGAAACGAACAAGACATTATGGTATTCAACAACTGCTCCTACGGGGTTAATCACGCCTCAACACGCCGCAACACGCCACAACACGCCGCAACACGCCACAACACGCCTCACCGCCGCGATCAATGAAAAACGTCGGTGAGATTTATGTTGCTGGTTTAATTGTTACATGAAAAAGACACAGACAAATGACACGCTGCAAGACAGAGGCAGCCGCTCCATTTGGAACCACTGACCTTTCCCTTTAAATATGCAGTAGAATTAGAGAGAGTGTGTGTGTGTGTGTGTGTGTGTGTGTGTGTCTACAGGTAGGAGAAGAAATGTGTTTGCGAAAGGTCGTCATTGAAACCTGGTGCGAAGGTGAAGGAACTGACAAACTGCTGAACAAACAGGATTTAGAAGCAAAGTTATAGAGACTTATAGAGAGTTTTTATCTTAAATTCTACTCTCGAGGTTTCTGACACACAACAACAAAACAGCTATACACTTTAGTTGAGTATGATGGTGGCATGGCTGGACTCTCTCTCTGGCTCCTCTCTATGGTCTCTCTCTGGTCCCTCTCTATGGTCTCTCTCTGGTCTCTCTGGTCTATCTCTGGTCTCCCTCTCTGTCCTCCCTCTGGTCTCTCTATGGTCTCTCTCTGTCTCTCTTTCTGGTCTCTTTCTCTCCGGCCCTCTCTGGTGTCTCTCTGGTCTCTCTTTCTGATCCCTCTCTATGGTCACTCTTGTGTCTCTCCCTGGTCTCTCTCTGGTTTCTCTCTGGTCTCTCTCTGGTGTCTCTCCCTGGTCTCGCTCTGGTCTCTCTCTGTTCTCTTTCTCTCCGGTCCCTCTCTGATCTCTCTCTCTGGTCCCTCTCTGGTCTCTATTTCTGGTCCCTCTCTATGGTCACTCTGGTCTCTCTAGTCTCTCTCTGGTATCTCTCTGGTCTCTCTCTCTCTTTCTGGCCTCTCTCTCTGGGTCATTGCGTTTTTCTCTCAAAATCTACTCTCAAACTTGTCTGTTTCTGGCACACAACCACCAAACAGCTGCACCCCATTAGCTGAATATGATGGTGGCTGGTTTCTCTCTGGCCTCTCTCTGGTCTTTCTCTGGTCTCTCTCTGGTCTTTCTCTGGTCTCTCTCTGGTCTCTCTCTTGTCTCTCTCTCTGTCTCTCTCTGGTCTCTTTCTCCGGCCTCTCTCTCTGGCCTCTCTCTCTCTGGTCTCTCTCTGGTCTTTCTCTGGTCTCTCTCTGGTCTCTCTCTTGTCTCTCTCTCTGTCTCTCTCTGGTCTCTTTCTCTCCGGCCTCTCTCTCCGGCCTCTCTCTCTGGCCTCTCTCTCTCTGGTCTCTCTCTTTTGGTCATTGCATTTTTCTCTGTAAACCTACTCTCAAACTCGTCTGTTTCTGGCACACACCTCATTCGCTGAACATGTTGGTGTCAGTTTGATGCGTTACGTCCTGTAAGAGAAGAGAGAATAGTTTAATAATGCCACAGAGACGCACATCCACCCACAGCGAGAGAGACCCCGTCCCGTTAAAGACAGCTTCACTCACTCAACGCTAATGCGCTAGCCAAAAAATCGCGCCATCTCTCCGCACAATACCCGAAGTTCCGAGGTGTGAAATAGCATTAGCGGGACTTAATCTTGCGTGAAGTATGGCCACGTCCGCCACTCCAATGGACTTTAAACGCAAAGCACTTCTTTCTCCATTTGACGAGTGGCCATTCCAGGGCTATAGCCCGAGCCGGAACGCCGCGCCGCAGGATGGATCCGTTAAAATAGCCTCATCCGTCTCCTCCCTCGCGCTCAAGTGCCTCTTTCCGGATGTCGTATCGCATGAGTACATCGGCGTGTGGATGGCAGCAGCTCCATCAGGACTCCCGCTGCCCAGCCTTGGGATCGGTTTTCGGAGACAAAGGCACTCGCCGGGGCCCCCAGGAAAGAGGAGGCCTTTGCGAAAGCCTAATGAGCACATATATATAAAGTTCTGTCTTTTGTGGCTGAGCTCGTTGGAAATGTCTGGACGGCGGTGATGAAGATGGGAAGAGAAGCCGGAGTCGGTAAAGTGCAGTTAGAGGGAAAAGTTGGGAAGTGTGCGGGAGATGGAGGAGTCTCTGGAGTGATACTTTTGTGGTTTTACTTTGAGGGAAACTGAGTGTAGAGATTAAAGATGGAGAGATCCTGTGTTGGTGCCAGAGTGGGGAAATGTCAGTGTTGCAACTGCAGACACAGAGCAGTAGGAAGGAGGAGAAAAAGTATAAGATGATGACAAAAATCAAGTCCGAAAATGCTCAAATTGCTCAAGAATTCAGGGACCATCGACTTCAGTCTGACAGCTAACATTGCTTGGCTAGTACTGGACCTTTAATGTCAAACAGACCAACATGAAGTCAGTACACTGCAAAATGATATGAAAACCAAATGTATCTTTATTTGAGCACATTCTGACTGAGCCTTAAAACATGATTTTACAATGTGAGAAAGCAAAATCATCTTGTTTTAAAAAGATAAAGAATTGAATGAGATAATAAAGCAATAATTCTTGAAATAAGACTAAATGTTTTTGTCCCATTTGAGAATCCTGCTCAGATTAAGATAAAACCATTCAAGCATTTACGACCTCATGTTTTATCATTTCTCTCTCCAAGGGTTCTGGTTCTGGTTTTTGTTCTGGGCTTTGAATTTCCATAAGAGCAGCACAGGTGCTGGTAACCATAGCAACTATATAGTACATTCTGCCACTATTAGAGGAGTCTGTGGAGTGACTACTTCTGTGGTTTTACTTTGAGAGAAACTGAATATAAGAGATTTTCCTTGTTAAGTCTCTGAGATTACTTCTGTTGTGACCGAGGGCTATAAAAGAGTAAATTGTATTGTATTGTATTCAGTTCAATGCTGTGTAATCCAGAGTAATGCTTTTGTTTATGAGATGAATACATTAGAATATGGCGCTTGGCATCCACCAGCGAGAGACAACACCAGCAAGAGACAAAACCAGCAGAGACATAACCAGCAGAGGAGCCACACCATCTGATCTCTGAGGCAGACGTCCAACACAGAAACATTTAGCCGTGACACCGGGACTCACGGTTCATGATGTCCTGATGCTGATGTAAAGCTTTCTGCATCTCACTGAGGTCTGAGAGTTCTGCTTCGACTATGACCCACAGAATGCTGATACTCCCTGACACTTTCTGGTCTCTCTCTGGTCTGAGAGAGACCAGAGAGCTGTAGAGTGGTTCTATTCCCGTGAATCAGAGCAGAGTTAGAGCAGGACAGGAGAGTGAGCAGAGTGTGTGGATTTATAGAAAAACAACGGATTTCAAAATGTAAAAAGTGAATGAGGACAAGGGACACTAGAAACCCCATCTCCTGTCTTCATAGTCCATCACCATGAAGACCGCCTTAAGAAGGAATACCAGATTATATAAATCCAGTTGATATAGTCCAGTGTTTTTCAACCTTTTTAAGACACACCACCAGGAGAAAATGTAAAAACATATAGTCTGTAGCCTATATTGACAATATGAAGTCATTCTCATCAAAGTTCTTAAATCCAGGCCTTGACATAAAGCTTTGTTTATTTTTTCCCAATACAATGAGTTAACAAGAGTTTGGGAATAAAGTGGCACTAACTGTGTAGAAAGAAACATAAAAAAGTCCAATCTCAGCCAAAAAAGTCAAATTCTGACTCACAGGGCTCTTAAGTATACCGAATAATATAAAAAAATTGCCTTTTGTGTGTTCTTTTTGATTTGTTCACAACATTTTTCTTTTGTGCACGGACCTAAAATGTAGGTATCCGAGCTTTAATTTTGGGAGTTTTGGTTGCGCTTTGGGATGAGACGAAATATTCACAGTCTATGGAGGAGACACGAGGGAGACACGGGAGAGACACGGGAGAGACACGGGAGAGACACGGGAGAGACACGGGAGAGACACGGGATAGACACGAGGGAGACACGGGAGAGAAACGGGGGAGACACGAGGGAGACACGGGAAAGAAACGGGGGAGACACGAGGGAGACACGGGAGAGACACGGGAGAGACACGGGAGAGACACGGGGGAGACACGAGGGAGACACGGGAGAGACACGGGAGAGAAACGGGGGAGACACGAGGGAGACACGGGAGAGACACGAGGGAGACACAAGGGAGACACGGGAGAGACACGGGAGAGACACGGGGGAGACACGAGGGAGACACGGGAGAGACACGGGAGAGACACGGGGGAGACACGAGGGAGACACGGGAGAGACACGAGGGAGACACGGGAGAGACACGGGAGGGACACGGGAGAGACACGAGGGAGACACGGGAGAGACACGGGAGAGACACGGGAAAGACACGGGAGAGACACGAGGGAGAAACGGGAGAGACACGGGAGAGACACGGGAAAGACACGGGAGAGACACGAGGGAGAAACGGGAGAGACACGGGGGAGACACGGGAGAGACACGGGAGAGACACGGGAAAGACACGGGAGAGACACGAGGGAGAAACGGGAGAGACACGGGGGAGACACGAGGGAGACACGGGAGAGACACGGGAGAGACACGGGGGAGACACGAGGGAGACACGGGAGAGACACGAGGGAGACACGGGAGAGACACGGGAGGGACACGGGAGAGACACGAGGGAGACACGGGAGAGACACGGGAAAGACACGGGAGAGACACGAGGGAGAAACGGGAGAGACACGGGGGAGACACAAGGGAGACACGGGAGAGACACGGGAGAGACACGGGGGAGACACGAGGGAGACACGGGAGAGACACGGGAGAGACACGGGAGAGACACGGGAGAGACACGGGAGAGATACAAGGGAGACACGGGAGAGACACGGGAAAGACACGGGAGAGACACGGGAGAGACACAGGAGAGACACGGGAGAGACACGGGAGAGACACGGGAGAGACACGGGGGAGACACGAGGGAGACACGGGAGAGACACGGGAGAGACACGGGGGAGACACGAGGGAGACACGGGAGAGAAACGGGGGAGACACGAGGGAGACACGGGAGAGACACAAGGGAGACACAAGGGAGACACGGGAGAGACACGGGAGAGACACGGGAGAGACACGGGAGAGACACGGGGGAGACACGAGGGAGACACGGGAGAGACACGAGGGAGACACGGGAGAGACACGGGAGGGACACGGGAGAGACACGAGGGAGACACAGGAGAGACACGGGAGAGACACGGGAGAGACACAAGGGAGACACGGGAGAGACACGGGAGAGACACGGGAGAGACACGGGAGAGACACGGGAGAGACACGGGAGAGACACGAGGGAGACACAAGGGAGACACAAGGGAGACACGGGAGAGACACAAGGGAGACACAAGCGAGACACGGGAGAGACACGAGGGAGACACGGGAGAGACACGGGAGAGACACGGGAGAGACACAAGGGAGACACGGGAGAGACACGGGAGAGACACGGGAGAGACACAAGGGAGACACGGGAGAGACACGAGGGAGACACGGGAGAGACACGGGAGAGACACGGGGGAGACACGAGGGAGACACGGGAGAGACACGGGAGAGACACGGGAGAGACACAAGGGAGACACGGGAGAGACACGGGAAAGACACGGGAGAGACACGGGAGAGACACAGGAGAGACACGGGAGAGACACGGGAGAGACACGAGGGAGACACAAGGGAGACACAAGGGAGACACGGGAGAGACACAAGGGAGACACGGGAGAGACACGGGAGAGACACGGGGGAGACACGAGGGAGACACGGGAGAGACACGGGAGAGACACGGGAGAGACACAAGGGAGACACGGGAGAGACACGAGGGAGACACGGGAGAGACACGGGAGAGACACGAGGGAGACACGGGAGAGACACGAGGGAGACACGGGAGAGACACGGGAGAGACACGAGGGAGACACGAGGGAGACACGGGAGAGACACGGGAAAGACACGGGAGAGACACGGGAGAGACACGGGAGAGACACGGGAGAGACACGAGGGAGACACGCGAGAGACACGGGAGAGACACAAGGGAGAGACATGGGAGAGACACGGGAGAGACACGGGAGAGACAGTGGAGAGACACGGGAGAGACACGGGGGAGACACGAGGGAGACACGGGAGAGACACGGGAGAGACACAAGGGAGACACGGGAAAGAAACGAGGGAGACACGGGAGAGACACGAAAGAGACACGAGGGAGACACGGGAGAGACACGGGAGAGACAAAAGTGAGACACGGGAGAGACACGAGGGAGACACAAGGGAGACACGGGAGAGACACGAGGGAGACACAAGGGAGACACGGGAGAGACACGGGAGAGACACGGGAGAGACACGGGAGAGACACAAGGGAGACACGGGGGAGACACGGTGGTTCTGTCTGCGTGTCTATGGTTCTGTTCGCGCGATGATGGTCGGCGCTCGGTATTACTTGACGGGCGCAGACTTGCTCCTCGCTCCCTGTTACGTTTGTTGGTCGCGTCCAATTCTTACATTTCTCGCCACAATGCTCCTCGCTACTTGTAAGCTCTCTGATGCCACCTACTGATATGAAAAGGTATTACATGCTTACTCCACAGTTCAAAACAAGTCAGCGCTGGCCAACAGTGGATGTAATTATTTTTAGACAAAGTAGGCAAATTTATCACGGCACCAGACAGTACCATACAGTGTGCCGCGTCACAGGGGTTGAAAAACACTGATTTAGTCCATTCATGACACAGACATGTTAACGTTGACATCGGGTGGTGGTGCCCCCATTGTGGTCCAGGGAGACAGACGTCCAGGTTTGAACCATGTCATGTTAACCTGGTAAAAGCCAGATTGATGATTGTGGAGGACTCAAATGAGTTCTCCACAAAATCAATCTGAGAATTCTGCAGGAAAAGAGCGGTTTGACTTAAAATCACGGTGAATGAATATGTGGTCATCCGCTTTGCCGTCCAGACATGCACAAAGTGTCTCTCGCTGTTCATCTTTCTAAGAAGAAAATTGTAGATTCTGCGAAAACTGACTCATAGCCTCAGGGTAATGTTCTT